CCGCTCTTCAGCCTCTTGGCTGGGAAATACAGATAAATACATCGCAACTGGCTGGAGACCAGGAATTCCCTGCTGCATGTGGGAAGGAGAGCTGAAAGCATCACTGTCTTTTCAAATCGGTACATAAAGAAGTAGCCATTTATTTTCCAGTGAGGTTTAATGAAGCAGATGGAGGCATCAGTCTGGAGATGACAGGAATCTGTTTTCTGGAGTTTATTTTCTGAGTCTCATAATTTACCTGATACAATGCATATGAAGCAGAAATCTGAGTTACGTTGAATCTTTGGTGTGTTGGGATTCTCCATAGAGTCTTTTTTACGATAAAGAATTTTGCTAAATTAACTTCAAAAATCCAAATCTCCCCAAGTCGCCAGTAAAAGAGCCCTACACAGCAGCGCTGCTGTACATCACCCTCTTCCTGATTTTTGTTGGGTGGGGGGCTTTTTTTTTGTTATAGGGAAAAGAAGTGATTTTATCTTGTACTCATTTAACCTCTTCCACAGGAACGGTGCTATCAGCCCCGCTGCCGGCACCATTGCTGCTGGTGGTGGCAGGGATGATTCATCTGAAGACGGGGCAGCGCCGACGAGAGGTGACTGGGCTCTGCACCAACCCCCTGCCCACTTCTTTTGGAAAGGGGAATTCTCCTCGTCATGAGGACAGCCTGGTGCAGAAGGGCACATACTGCCACTGGCCTTTTGCAAAGTTTACGAAGGATAGCGAAATTAAATCTGAATATCAGAACCTGTGACCATGTTTAACACGCTCTCACACTTCCTCTCGTGGTTTTTTCATGTCTTCTTTCCCTGTGCAAATGTTTCAAGATCTGTGCCATTTCTTTGCGATCAAGGCTGTGCCATGTGTGCAAATCACAAAGTATTAGTAGTAAATAAATCCCAGAGGAGGAGTCATCCAGGAGCCTCCTCATTGCTCTCATATGCATAGGCACCTTCTCTCCTACAAGTGCAGACATGGGTGCTTGCAGGGGCAGAAATGGCTCATTAACACTGATGGGTGAGGTTTTGCAGCTGAAGCAGAGTTTTTCCATTGTTATCTGAAGAAAACAGACCTTAGGCAGGCAGCATCGCTCCTCGGTTGCACAGAAAGGTTTTCGGTCTTTTGCTAAGATGGGTTCATTTCTGCAAATGGACTTCAGGAACATGGTGGGGTTTTTGCAGCCCCTGGCACCACTCACATCTCCCTAGTTGCTGCCATGAATTTCTGCTCAGGACCTGGGGGATCCTCGGGGCAGAGGGTTCACACAGTCACCCCTGCAAAATTCGCACCCTGGGGAAAGCCAAAACAAATGCAGAATGGTATTTGGACAAATTTAAGTGAGAAAAATACGCCTGGAAAGTGAGAGCCATTGGGATGCTGTTGTGCTATGGACGCTGTGATGGGTCTCGCTCCGAGCTGGGCTCAGCCTTCCTGGGAGGAAGATGATGGACGATGAAGGACCTCCTGCAGCTGCAGAACCCGGGAGGTGCCATTCTGCAGACCCGTGCCCGTTCACACTGGCTGAAGACGGGTTAAGATGATACAGGGTCATGTTTTCCCTTTGGCCCATGGAAATCTGACTGAACAGAAGCTTTCAGAGCAACAGGGAGACAAAGCTGCAGTGCAGCTGCATTGCATTTAACACTGCCTGTTACCGGGACAGGGCATTTTTAGCTAATCCCAACATTGTTTTAGCATGAAAAAGCTCCTTTTGGGTTGATTTTTTTTACAGGGGCTGAAGGAAAGCCCCGCAGTGGTGCTGCTTGGGGCTGGTAGGGCGTATTGCCCACAGTCCTGCAGTGGGTGACAACTCCCAGCCAGCCCAGGACATTGCTTTGGTAGGTGGGGGCTTCCTGAAAGCCACACAGGGACACTCTGTCATTCTCCACGACCAGAGCGGATGCTGGGAGTGTGCTGAGGGGGAATTTGGAGCAAGACGGCCCGAAGGACTCGTTGTTGGAAGGACATTTGGGGCAAAGGCAGGGAGAGCTGGAGATGGCAGTGGTAATTATTGCAAGCATCAGCAGCATTGTTATTCACTGGGACACTCATCACTAAGATCCTTTAAATTTTCTTGGGCTGTTTTCACAATCCAGGGTGAAAGGATTGCCTTTTATTATTGATTATCTATTTTTGTTACTACCCTGTTAGAACGGTTTATAATTTTGTTCTAATTTCTTATAATGGCATGGATTTTCTTCACTTGCTGGGTGGGTTGTGAGGAGATGGTTCTGCTGGGAAATGGGAGCCTCCACTCCAGCCCTCCCCAACAGCGCAGCATGAGTTGCAGGCAGAGGAATGATGATTAATTCAGTCCAGTTCACACATATGGTCCTGTGGTTTGACATTTTGTCTGTCTGGCCCCGGATAGGGCAGAGATGGTAAAAATACATCTTCAACTCTGCTTTCTGCTATTTTTTCTTTGTTTTGTTTGTTTTTCCTGGGATCATAGTGATCTAAAAGCAAAACCAAAGCACTGTGTGACTTTGGAGTGAGCAAAGCTCCAGGTTTAATGAAGGACTGAGTTTATTTCACAGAATCACAGAATGGCAGGGGTTGGCAGGGACCCCTGGAGATCATCCAGTCCAACCCCCCTGCCAGAGCAGGATCACCTAGCAAAGATCACACAGGAACACATCCAGGTGGGTTTTGAGAAGGAAACTCCACAACCTCTCTGGGCAGCCTGGTCCAATGAACAGACTTAATAATTTAAAATTTATTTAATTTCTTAATATTGCCCATCTTCCCATTTTGACGATAGAGAGAAGAAACATAAACATTTAAAATGATGCCAAAAGGTGCCTTTGAGGAACATCATCAGGAGGGAACTTGTCACACTTGTCCCCAGCACGGCTGTCGCCCCATCAGTGGGAGCTACTGAGTGCCAGCCTGATGAGGAATCAGAGATTTTGATGCCTAAGTGTCTGCCACAAGGTGAAATAAATGGGTGCTCTGTCCAATAATCTTTATTGTCACTGTGCTGGGTGTCCTTGGGTGCATGGGAACCACGTCCGCGACCTCGTGCACAGCCCTGTCCAATGCCCACACAGCCAGGAGTGCAACTGCTCAGCAGGAGGGAGCTTCCCAAGCAGCAGCTGTCCAGTGTTATTTAACATGTTAATTATAATCACAATTATTATTTATTAATAGTTTATTTGTTTTATCTGTTACTTGCTATTTATATTTATTATTTGTTAGCAATTGTTATCTATTGTTTATCATTTATTATTTACTATTTATTCACTAATTTACTATTTACTCTTTATTATTTATCATCTACAGTATATTATTTACCATCCACAGTTTGTTATTTACTATTTGCTATCAGTAGTATTTATTATTTACTATTTGCTATTTAGTTACCACATTAAGTTCACTTGACATTTAACAAGTGTCTAACTTTATTACAAACAATTGGGAAACATAGCCAAATAGCTGCTGGGTGCATTTTTCCAGCACCTTGGGTGCCACCAGCTAAGAAAGCTGGATGAACTGTGCCCATGGCAGCCTCTGCCTGCAGCCAGGCAGGAGCTGTGATGTAGGTGCAGGCAGGAACTGGGATGGAGATGCAGGCAGGGTTTGGGATGGAGGTGCAGGCAGGGTTTGGGATGGAGGTGCAGGCAGGACTGCAGCTGATCAGGATGCTCTTCCAGGCATTTGCATTTGCTTCCTCTGGGTGTCTCCAATGATTTCTCCTGAGCTGTCTGTTTAGATTTGCTGTACAGCAGCCAAGGAAGCTAGACAGATCTTCCCGGCCCCAGAAAAGATGCTTGGAGCAGGGCAAAGAGAGGGGGCCATGATGCAAGGAGCCAACAGTCCCCTCTGAGGGCTCACACTGTGTCCCCGCAACCTCGGCAGGGTGAGACGTGAACATGGGGTACAGAGCAGCCATGCACTCACTGGTGTCAGAGCAGGCCAGGTCCAGAGGTCTGTGTCATCCTTGGGACGTGGTGGCAGGGTGCGTCATGCTGTCCTGCTTCCCTCCCCGTGGTATGGGGTGGTGGAGGTGTCCAGCTCAGCTCTTGCAAGCAGGGAGGTGACAGTCAGTGGGCGCTGTGTTGAGCGTCATTGTTCTGGGTTGATGGGGAGCTGGTGGCTTCTGTGTCACACCTAACAGGAGACATTCATACAGATGGGAACCACGACACATCTCAGGGACATTGCTGCCAGGTGCAGAAGAGAAGAAACGAATGAGAAGAAGGATGATCATTCTGTGCTTGATGCAACAGCGGGTTTGCAAACAGGAAGCGTTTGAAGCAACCAGCAGATGGGTCTGCAACGCCTGTCCCGTGAGGGTGACTCTTTGGCAAGACACTTCCGCTGCTCTCAGAAGCGATGACCAAGCTCTGGCACATCCACACGACCACCTCTGAGCAGAAACCCAGGACTGTGGTCCCAGGACCAATTTGGCCTCAAGCTGAGGAAGAGACAAGGACCAGAGCCTGCACGTAGACCATCAGAAGAACCTCATTATGGAGTTACCTTGTTCCTGGTGGCCCGTTCTCGTCTGTGGGAATTTTGGCATGGCAGCTTTGTAAAATTTCATGTGCAAGTCTGACAGAGAGGACTGGAGTTTGCAGCTCTGGGATACCAAGGCTGTGCAAGGACTCTGCCCCCACTGGAATGCCCTGTGCCTGGTGAGAAGGTTCTTTGGCTTCAGAGAGGACTCTCCACTCCTCTTCCAGCTCTCTCCATTTCCTAGAACCCTGGGCTCAAGATTTTCCCTCCTCTTGCTCTTGCTCTTGCTCTTGCTCTTGCTCTTGCTCTTGCTCTTGCTCTTCCTATTCCTATTCCTATTCCTATTCCTATTCCTCTATCTTGAACTCCTCTCCTCTCCTCTCCTCTCCTCTCCTCTCCTCTCCTCTCCTCTCCTTCTCTCTTTAGTTTTTTCTCTGCTCAATTATTATGTTCTCTGTGCTGCAGATATTGTAGCCGATGGAGAAGTAGGGGGGAGGACTGAATGACCAGAGCACATTCACAGTACTGGGGACCTGAGAGTCACTAATTTTGCCTTCATTTCTTGCCTTTCCCCAGGTAAGCACAAGAGAAGAAGGAGGAAGATGGACCGACATCCCAACGACACGATCCATGACTGGCACATGGTGTCCCCAGCGCCCATGGAGAGTGGGGATGGTCACAACGAGACCAGGTGCTTTGCAGAACACATCCCTGAAATCGTCACTGGCAGCATCACGCTGCTCATCTGCCTGTGTGGGCTGGTGGGGAACGGGGCCATCCTCTGGCTCCTTGGCTTCCGCATCCACAGGAACCCCTTCACCGCCTACCTCCTGAACCTGGCCGTGGCCGACACCTGCTTCCTCTTCTGCACATCGGCTTTCCTTGTGATATATCACATGCCCATGCTCAGCTGCTTTCAGCCAAAGATTTTGCAGGTGCTGCCACTATTTCACTCCATGGTGCTGCTCACGTACAGCACCAGCCTCTACCTCCTCACGGCCATCAGCGTGGAGAGGTGTGTGGGTGTCCTCTGGCCCTTCTGGTGCCGATGCCACCGCCCGAAGCTCCTGTCGGCCATCGTGTGCAGCCTGCTGTGGGCCCTTGCTTGTGTCCTGGCCGGGTTGGTGTACTTCATGTGTGACATGGGTAACTCTGGACACTGCTGGATGGTTCTTGGAACCTTGTGCTTTCTCAATTTCTGCTTTTTCACTCCCTTTATGGTTCTTTCCAATGTGGTCCTCTTCATCAAGCTTAGGCGCAGCTCTTGGCAACACCACCCAGCGAGGATGTACACTGTCATCTTCCTCACAGTTCTCTTCTTCCTCCTCTTTGGCATCCCGCTCAGCATCCAGATCTTCCTCAACTTCTTTGTCTACATCAGTTTTGTGTTTGAGGTCTGCCTGCTGCTGGCCTCTGTCAACAGCAGCACCAATCCAATTATTTACGTCTTGGTTGGGAGCTACGGAAGGCCCAGGTTCAGGGGATCTGTCAAAGTGGCTCTTCAGAGGGTCTTTGAAGATAGGGCAGATTCCCAAGAGGTGGGTGAGACCCCCATGATGGGAATCACTGCCTAAACCCCTACGACTGTGGAGGGGCAGCCCTGGCTCTGCACCCATGGGAGCAGAGCTCTTTCCCGTCTGGGTAAGCAGACCAGTGACATGTCCTCGGGACACGGCCATGCTCAATGACATTTCCAGAGGCAGGGCTGGTTCCCATCTCAAACTTGGTTTTAAGTTGTTTTAATAAAAGTGTTTTTCATATAACTTACTGGTCGTTGTGGTTTCTTCCCTTGCTGACTCCAGGGGGTGCCCTCACTTGTTCTCCAAGTTACAGCTGTGGCAGTCCCCTCACGCTGAAATGATGTGGTCCAGTAAGTCCTGCAGCATTTTTTTCTCCAGGGTTGACATGGCCACACTCCTGGGCCCCAATTTGTACCCTGTCTGCATCCCAGCACGGAGATGACCCAACTCTTCCTGCCCCTACCCTCTTCTGGGACCTTGGTTCCTGATACTGATACCGACCACCACTACCCTGGACCAGAGGAGATGATGGTGAGGGACAGAAATGATGTTTTCAGCTCGATCTCCTCCTGTGCCACGGTCTGACAGAGAAAACCCATCTCAGTCTGGCTGATGGAGCCGACAGCACCTGTCAGTAGCCAAACCTTCACCCTGCCAAGGGAGTTTACCGGGTGGACAAGCTCAAGGAGCAAAATGCCAGGGCAGAGCCAAGAAAAGAGACAGAAACAGAAGCCGGGAAGGCTCTCACAGGCGACAGCTCGAAGAGCTGAGCTCTGCCTGCCAGATGGCTTTATTAGCTCTCCTGATACACAGAAGCAACCGCTACCAGAGCCATAATATTTACAGAACATCCTCTGAACACATACAAGCCTAACCTTGATACAAACAAATAACTGCTGTCTGTAAATCTTGTGCTGGAAATCAGAACTTTAGGTGACTGTGCACAAGATGTTGCCCACGAAAGCAGAAGCTGAGAAACGCTGGGTATTTCTGCTTTTTTGCAGAGCAGACGGGTAGATCAGGCAGCGAGTGGTGTTGCACGGCATCACACTGCTGTATCTCAGCGCTTTTGCACTTGAAAGAGTTGGTTTGGTGAGGGCATGTGAGATTCTGTGGTTGGGGACACAAATGCAGAGTCAGCGAGGGAGAAAGGAGGCGGTTTTGGTCCACACGTGCCAGTACAGGCAGGAGCACCCCTTGCTCCCAGATGCAACAGGAGCTGTTTGCATTTCACCTTCACCACCGATGGCCAGGGTAGAAATCACCTCACCTAACTTCGGCTCTCTAGAAATGACATGGGCTTGTTTGAGGAAACCATTGGAGGCTGCTGAGGCTACCTAGGGAGCGTAGAATGCAACTGAGATGAAACCTTTAACTTTTAGATAGTTAAAGCCAAGTGAGCAGCACTGCTTCACCTTTCCTTAGGAAAAAGGAGATTTTTCTGAAATCCTAAATCATCCCGTTGCCATCTGCCTGTGCTCTGGCTCATGCACAGGTTTTATTATTCGGTTTGTTCCTTGATGCAAATAGTAGCATGCACTTAGAAACTGTGTATGTGAAGGTCAAGTATCACTGCGAAACTGCGGTATGCAAGTGGCAAAGCTAGATCTGAATCAGAAATGGAAGTTTTGCAGTAACGCCAAACTTGTGGAGCAGAGTCCTAAAGATACACCCCTGGAACGATAGAGGAAAAGTTCAGCCAGTTGAGAGATATGAACATTTTGGGACTGAGGTTGCTTTAAAGAGAAATGAAAGAGGAACTTGACATGGAGACAATCTGCTTTTCCCATAGGTCCAGTTTCTGAGACTCTTTTTTCTTAGTCATTTCCTGTACAAAGCCAAGAGCAGATTATAACCAGAACCCTGATGCTGTCAAAGGCAATGAAATAGTTCCCTGTTTGCAAGAACTCTGAGAATATGACCTGCTTGGCTAACACTGAGAAACACAGTTTGTGAAAGGACCTGAAAAGACCTCACACTGGATGCTGCACAAGCTCATCAGCGCAGGCTTTGCTCCAGTTTTTGAAGAGATAATTCTGGGAAATCTCATGAAGAACTCCCCTCATCACGGGGGCGGCAGCTGGCGAGTGTGAGGTGATGTGAATCTGCAGCGCGTCTGAAAGCTGCGAGAGGAAAGAAGGTCAGACTTTTCTGGGTGGTTTGTTTGTTTCTTTTTCAGCCTCATCAGTGCCTCCCCTCATTGGTTTTGAACCTGTTGGTCAATTTGCACCAAATCTAATTGGGAAACAGTGGTCTCTAGGTTATTAAGACCTATAAATATTGTGGGGAAAGGTGGTAGGGGAATGCTGAGATGGGTGTTCCACTGAGGGAACCACTAACCATGATATTAGACACCTGAGAATCCATATCACATCCACCCCCAAAACTACTTGCTCTTTGACATCTGCAAGGACAATCCTTTCATCTGATTGTTTCCCTTCTCCAGATCTGTCCTGTCCAAAGCCAAGAAGGAGGCAACTCCCTCGCTTTCACTCCCCCTTCATCCACGCTCCTGTGCCAGGCATGTCATACCCATCTCCCCACACCCTGTCTTCCATCTCTCCTGTCTCTCATACCTTCTGTGCTCCCCCACATGAAAACTGGGGCGTGGCTGCAAAGATCTGAAAAGCCCAGTGTGGAGGACAGCAGAGTTGCTAACACGTCTCTGTTTCATCTCATCCCTCCAGCCGTGCGAGGGGCAAGGAGGAGCAGCAGAGGTTTTGTAACCAGCACGTTGTTTCCTGCCATGGAAAGAACCAGCCCTGCTTGCTGGAGCCAGCCTGGTGGGACAGCACAGAACGGGACTTGGCATCACAGGCTGCTGAGGCATGAGGACGACGACTACAACTGGACCAACTGTGAGGCCAATTACTTGAGCAAAGTCCCTGTCACGCTGCTCATCTGCCTCTGCGGGCTGGTGGGGAATGGGGCTGTCCTCTGGTTCCTTGGCTCCCGCGTCCGCAGGAACCCGATCACTGTCTACGTCCTCAACCTGGCTGTTGCCAACTTCACCTTCCTCTTCTCCATTGCCACTGCCCTTGTGATATTTTATGGTTCAGAGAGCCTTTGTCACACGCTGGGCTCACGGGATGTGGCAACGGTGTTGAACCTCAACATCCTCTTCACTTTCACTACCAGCATCTACCTTCTGACAGCCTTCAGTGCCACGGTGTTTCTGTCCATCCTCCCCTCATCCCGCTGTCCTGGCCACCACTCCTTGCGCTTGCCAGTGCTGGTGTGTGCCCTGCTCTGGGCCTTGTCCTTCCTGTTCACCGTGACTCTCTACTTCTGCCCTGCGGCACTCATCGTCTTCATCCTGAGCTGCCTCTTTTCGGTGCTCACCCTCATTTCTTGTGGCCTAACCCTGCTTGCCAGGCTCTTGTGCTGCTCACGGCAACACCCTCCAAGGAAGCTCTGCGTTGTGGTCCTGCTAGCTGTCTTCTTCTTCCCCTTCTTCGCTGCTGATTTTGGTTACTGGATCTTGCTAAGAGTGTTTGATTTTTCTGTTTTTGTCTTTGACGTCTCTCTCCCATTTGCCTGTGCAAACAGCAGCGTCAGCCCTGTTATTTACTTCTTGGCTGGGAGCTGTGCAAAGAAGTTCACGCTCTCCATTAAGGTTGCTTTCCAAATGGTTTTTGAAGACATAACAGAGCCCCAAAATAGAGGTGAACCTCCTAAAGAAAACACAGTGGAAACAGTTGTTTAAACTGCAGTCCTCCCAGGAGAAGATGCTCAAGGGATGGAGACATCCCATGAGCCAGGGCGAGATAAGGAGGATGACTTTGGTGAGGGCCTGGCTGCAGGCATTTCACCACAATGAAAGATGTGGGGTTAGATGGGAACTCCTGCCTGGGGTGAACACTGGACAGTGTGATGAAATACCCATCAAAACCTCTTGCTTTGAAACCATGGCTTTGAACCTATCCTATACAAGAGGTCTGAGTTTTTCCTGTCCCAAAAGTGACCTTGCTTTACCCTGTGCTCAATTAAAACAGAGCCATGGAGGCTTTTAGCTCTTGTCAGTGTGGTTTTTCTTCGTGAGTCTGCTTAAAAGCAGAGTGTGGGTGGATAAGAGTCTGGCACAGCAGGAAAGAACAATTCCTGGTCGAATGCTTGTGTGTGCATCTCCAGTGGGTGCCAACACATGTGAAGAAGATGTGGAGACTTCACATTCAGCTTGGTTACCACGCAAGTAGGCATGTATTTGGGATCTCCTCTGGAAGGCTTTCACCAAAATGCGTTACTTCTGCTGTAAAGTGAGTTTTGTCTGCAGATCATGTGGGTCATCTGCACACAAGGGTTTTTGACTGGAACTGCCTCTTGTGGTTCCTCCCACTGTTCTCTGGGCTGTCTGGATCTTTAGCTTGAGAAAATGCCATTTCGCAACCACGACCTGAGGTCTGGATCTGTTTCTGGTGTGTCTGTTCCTCATTTAGAAAACCAAGAGGAGCCGGGTTAAATTGAAACAACCCAAATAAGGACAGCCCTGCCTGGAGACTTTGTTAAGACTTGATTTTCCACATGGAAGAGGAGAGAGGGAAGGAAAACAGTGGACTTTTTATGGAAAAGACCCTGTTGAGGCCTTGAGGACTGACTTACCCCCGGTAAAAGGGGTGGTGGCAGCACTTCCTCCACTTCTCTCTCCCCTCCATGTCTGTCAGTCCTTACTATCAAGGAGCTGGGGAGGGGTACACCAGCTCTGGTTGACCTGTGAGCCAAGTCACCAACAGACCATTGCTTTTGGGCTGGTTTTGTTACCTGGTGCAGCTCCCCACCAGGCTGCACTACCTTTAGTAGAAGCACGAGGGACTTAGCCCAGATCTACCAGACAGGCTGGAATGAAAACCAGTTGCAATGCAGGTACAGAGCCACGATAACTAAACCCATAAAACTCTCTGGTCAAAACAAGAAGCTCTGATAGGTGGTGGCCTGGGTGACTCTGCAGGCAAGGGAGATCCTGGGAAGTAGGAAAAGCACATAGGAGGATTGTGGTCCTTCTGCACCCGCCTTGGGAGTCACCCCTCTGATGTTGGGAGCCCTTTCCTGGACAACAGTCGTAACTCAGAAAGTTTTTACTTTACAGGGAAGTGGGAGAGAGGAAGAAAAAAAGCCCCTCTCTCAACTATGGTAGACTCCTGCCCAATTCTGTAAAACAACTCTGTTAGCAAAAGCTGCTTAGATATTTAATCTTATATTGTGTCTTCAAGGTATGACATGCCACCCATGGGCAAAACTTCAGTGTCTCTTTCTAAAAGCAGTGGTACGTTAGCCACCCTTGAATTTAAGGCAGTGGGAAAAGAATGGACAACTTCCCACTGTGCAAGAGGCAGGAAAACAGATGGGTGAATACAGGCATCCCTGCTACCTGCACATGTGATGAATTCCCTTGCCAGGGTGTGTCTCCTCCTTGCTTTTACCAGCTGTGAGGTCCTTTCCCTCAGGTCTTTCTTCTGCCCTTCCACCTCTGCCTGTCTTAGCTGGCCTCAGCCCTCCACCCTACAAGGACATGCTCTCCTGAGGAAAGTTTCAGCACATGTGGGCAGCTCCACTGCTGTGGTTTGGCTCAACTGGAGGCTTCTTACAGTGAGATGGATCTCTGCTAACTGCAAGCATCCCAGAGAAATGTTGTCTGCTGCCCAGGTACCTCCCAGAATGAATGAGGAGGTCTTGGCACTGTCAACAGTTGACTCATGCCAAGTATTGCAGGCACCTACCCTGGGATGAGGTGGATCATGCTCTGGAGGTACCTGTCCTCCTCACAGACAAGACAGAGGCTTTAGAATGAGACAAAAATTGGCCATTTGCAGGCCAGAGTCAGCCTGGCTCTGTTCACCAGTGACAAGTTACGCAGTGAAGCCCAGTTGTTTATTCAACAAACTTTGGGGTCAGAGTTACCATGTTGGAAACAAAACAAGAAATCTAAATTGAAGTTGAGAGTAGCAACAAAATGACACCTTAGATTGGCAGCTAGAAAAAGATCAGTTCCATCAGGATTTTGGAGTGCATAGTGAGTCATTGAAACATAGAATCATAGAATGGTTTTGGTTGGAAAAGACCTTTAAGATCACCAAGTCCAACCATCAATCCAGCCCTGGGTCCGTCACTAGACCTAGGAGACGTCACTTTCTGAGGAGCTGCTCAGTGCCTCCTGAAGATGGCCAGGTTCAGGATGGAGGCAGTGAAGGGCTTCCTCTTGATGCTGAAGCTGGGAAACCAAAGGATGGCCCCTCTCCCCATCAGCGCACACAGGCAGATGAGCAGTTTGATGCTCCTAATTTCTATAAAATTAAGTGGCCCATACATCTGGTTGTGTTTATTTCCATATCTCAGGCTTTTCTTAGTCATGGACACAGAGGTGTGTTCAGTGGAGTCACTATGAAATCTTTGCTGTGAGCAAAGAGGATACAGGAATTAGGTTCTGTGCCAAGACCATTTGATCTGGTAATCCCCTGCCTTGCTTCATGACATGGCTCAGAGCCCTGGTTGGGGTGTATTTGGTGAGCTGTGCCAGAGCACGGCCCCACCTCAGCCTCTGCAGCTGACATCTGCCCGCTGTGCTTCTCTCTGGCATGAGAGAGGTGATCTTTGGCAGCAGACATCCTGAGTTACACTGTTACCCCACTCTTCAACTTGAAATATTTTCCTTTCCAAAATCGATCCCTTTTCTGGAGGCATAACCCCCCCCATTTCCCTTTCCAAATTTGGAGGATAGGGTGTCATACCCTTGGCTGAAATAAGGCAAAAGAGTCTGAATCCTCCTTTGAGATGCTTTTGTCCCTGTGGACACAACTTTTGAGGATATATTGAAAAGTGAAACATGTCTTAAAATCCCCTATTGGTTTCCTGGAGGAACTGATGGGCGCAGGGCTGGAGCAGATTCCCTGCCCTCTTGCAGGGATGCTTACTGTGCTGTCCAGTCCCTGAAAGACCCCAGCAGGTCTTGTCAGCCAGCCATGGTCTGCTACAACAAGCCTTCTTCTCCTGGAGCACAGCTGGAAAGCAGCACCTTGAGTGAACATTTCAGCCCAAACACCAGCGCTGGGAATGCGCCACTCGTAATCCCCTGGCACTATTGAATCCATACTTTTCTCAGAACTGTTTAACCCTGGAATTAAACTCTGTGACAAATTCCCACTTAAAGTACAAGAGAATGCTCCTGTTTGTTCCCCAGCTCTGCAGCTCTCCCTGATGTTGGTTTATTTCTTTTCCCATCAGCTGGGAGCACAGGGCTGGCTCTGCTGACCTGCTCTTTAGAGAGAAGAGCAAAGATGCTCGGTCAATCCCTACCCCTCTCCTGCCATCTAGCGGATTTCATATTTATAAAATCACTCCCAGCCCTCTGCTGGATGTGTCCCCGCAGCCCTCCCTGGGATCCCACTCCTGGCCAGGAGAGTGCACACAAACCCAGAGGAGGTGGAGGGGTTCACCAGGCCTGGAAGAGGGATTTTGGTGGGGGTGGGTTACCAGCTAGCCTCTCTACACGAGGGTATCCTGCTCGGCTTCCAGGAGCAAGTGGCTCTTCTGGGAGTCCTCACTTTCCACCTCCCATCGGGGCAGCAGTAGAGATAGAGGCATGGCCAGCTCTGCCCTCACCACATCTCCGTGCCAAGAGGACCAGGATGAGGAGGGGGCTGCATCACCCCGCGGCTGAGCCACAGGGCTGCTTCCTACGGCAGAAACTGCCTCTGCTCCTTGTTCAGCCATTCCTTTCAGCAAGAGTGCAGTGGTGCCGGTGAGATGCCTGCATGATGCCTGTCCATTTTTGCAATCGTTTTTGCAGAGCCCTGCCTTGCTTGGACAATAGAGATGGACAGAGCTGCCCCAGGGACAAATATGTTGGCCTTCCTTGGGCAAGAGATGCCCCAAAACACCACAAAAATCTGCTGAGCAAAGGGAGTCAGAGTTTATTCACTGAGGCCAGAGCAGTGAGGGTCATTGCCATGGGGAATTCAGCCCGTGCACAGCGACTGAGCTCAGCTGAGCAGCGCTGCACTGGCTCTGTGCTATGGGTCCCCACGCCTCCATCCCCCAGGCTGTCTGCGAGATTCCACAACTCCAGGCCTCCTCATCAGCAGTCTCTTACAGAGAGGTCTCCACAGCAGGGTCACCAGGCACATGGGTCCCCTCCTCGCTTGTCGCTTTCTCTTCGAACACTCGATGCAGGGCGACTTTTGCTGAACCCTGGAACCGGCGCTGCCGGCAGCTCCCCACCAGAAAATAAATGAATGGGTTGATGCTGCTGTTCAGCGATGCCAGCAGAAAGGAAATATGAAGGTAAATCACGCTTAAATAAATGGTATGAAGAAAAATCACAACAGTGAGAGGAAACCCAAAGATTAACAGAAAGATCAGACTGAGCAGGACAACAACATAGAGTTTCCCTGGGTGTCGTCTCTGTGAGCCACACTGGAGTTTGATGAACAGGGAAAGATTGGAAAGGAATGGGAATAAAGAGAAAATGATAGCATTTGCAATGCTTAAACCTTGTAATTGTTGTTCACAGTATGTATCCCAATAACAACTAATCAAACTCATAGAAACAAAAAGTCCAGCAAGAGCCCAGAGCACCCCACATATGATACCTGACAAGTGCTTTGGGCGGTGGCACCGGTACCAGATTGGGAACAGAACAGACAGGCACCTCTCCATGCTCATTGCTGTCAGGAGATACATGCTGGCAAAATATGAAAATAGAACAATTAACATCAGGAAATAATGGGGCAAATAATACTGAACTGCGAAATCACAGTAGACTGTTGAAAGAATGTATAATATAAGATTAACAATAAGGAATAGGAGCATAGAGAAGTCAGCAATGGCCAAGTTCAGGACATAGACAGTGAAGGGGCTCTTCTTCATGTGGAAGCCCAGGAGCCACAGGACTATTCCATTCCCCACAAGTCCACACAGGCAAATACCAATAAAGACACCTGAAGTTATCAACATATTATCATCTCCTTGTATGCACCAAGATTGATTAACTGTCTGAGAATCTGCATATCCAGAAGTCATGTAGTTCAGAGAGAGGTCTGTTGTGTTGGTCTCCTCCATGGTGAATGACCTTGCTCTGGGTGGCCACCTTCTCCCTTTCCTACCACCTCCTAGGAAAGACAAGGAATCAGAAGGAAATGAGGACCATCAGCATTCCCAGCACTTGTCATCTTTTCCTGTGACCCCACGCCAGCTCCAGGCTGCACCAGGAAGAACCCCATCCCTTGCTGTGCCCAGGACAGGCTCCCACCCCTGCAGTCCTGTCCCTGGACAGGAGGCATCTCTCACCTGCTGGTCCCTGGATTCCTCCCCGTTGGTGCTCCTGGGAACAGTGCTGCTGCAGGAGCCTCAGCACACAGGATGTCCAGGCTTGCCAGGAAAAAGAGTCTGGTGTTGGCAGCTGGGGCCACCCTGCTCTGCTTTGGCCTCGTCCGTTGTGCTTGAGGAGTAAACCTTTGCCAAGAGGTCCCCTCCCATGGTCAGGTGACTCCCTTCACAATCTCATCACATCGGTGACAGTTTCCCCTCACATGTCTCATGGACGGTGATCTTGTCAGTAGGAGTTGGCCGCGTCACCTCCTTTTCCTGCTGCCATCCTCCAGCTTTGTTCCTCCATTCATAGAATCATAGGATCACAGAATCATAGGATCACAGAATGTATTGAGTTGGAAGGGATCTTTGAAGACCATCCAGTCCAACTCCCCTGCAGTAACCAGGGGCAATGTTACCAGAGCAGGTTTCTCAGAGCCCCATCAAGCCTGACCTTGAATATCTCCAGGGACGGGACCTCCACCACCTCTTTGGGCAACCTGTGCCAGTGATCTACCACCCTCATATTGAAAAACTTTTTCCTAATATCCAACCTAACTCTACCCTTTTCTAGTTTAAAACCACTACCCCTCGTCCTATCGCTACATGCTCTAGTGAACAGCTCTTCCCCATTCCAGGGGCTTTTGCTATGTGTACCTGGTGGTCCAAGACTTCTCTCTGCTCTCCCTGGAGGCACTTCAGCCCCATACAGAAGCTTTGCCATAATGTGTGGGAAAATCCTGAACGTACTGAAAGTAATTTAGCTATAGCCCCAGAACCATAGGAGAGAACCCATGCAGAGCCAAGGGCAAACAAGGTCTTTGCTTGGAGGTGAAGGAAGAGGAGCACTGTGTCAGTAAGAGACAATGCTGGCTGGAAGGTTCTTGTACAAAGTGGGAGGTTTGTGAAGGGTGTATTGTCCCGGGCCAGGAAGCTCTGGGGACAGTTCTGCAAAGTGATGTGATCTCCTGTTACTTTCCAGTAGCACCACTTGATTGCATGAGGAGAGCTCCATCTGTAAAGACAGGTGGGCTCATAAATCACTCCCAGGCACAGAGGATGGCAGAAAGGTGGGAGTGAGACACCTGCCAGGGAGCCTCAACAGTGGGAAATCACCAATGCGCAGACTTGCAACAGCATGAAGGCTTTGCTCAGTGCCTCTAATGACATGTAAACCAGTGCTCAAAGACTTCTCCCAACTTTCTTCTGGGAGACTCTGCCATCAGATATAGGCCTTGCTTTATCGTGTCAATAATAATACATGTGAGAAATGTGATGCTACAAAGCCATAGAAGAAATCAAGAAAGGGAAATGTTTTTCATAGTGGAGGTGAAGAAAGAAAACCACAGGTTGTCACTGTAAGACAATCACCTGATTTTTATAGGCCCAAAACTGTGGGAAAGTGGAAAAAAAAGGGACTTAATCTCATGAAGCATGACTGGACAACATAGCACACTAAACTGCCCAGGTGAGGCACGCTGATTCTCTCTTCCAGGGTCCTGAAGGCAACAGCAAGCCTTATTTGCCCTGGCTCCATCTATTCATCCCCTGCCCATGGGACCAGGGAATCCACTTAGGGTCAAGCCTGAGCAGTCAGGCTTTGCCTGAGCTATGCAGGAGTTGCATCTCTCCAAAGACTTGCCTCCATCCCCCTCTCATGGACGGACCTTGAGCCTATGCTTTAGCCTTGTCTCAAGTCTATTTCTGCCTCAACTCCCGCAGTTCCAGGCTGGGCCCACGGGAGAGACTGTGGACCTTGTTCATTATTGTACGTTCACCACATGAAACAAAAGGACATCCTTGGAGGACATCAGTCTTGGGAATAACAAGCATAGGCAATAAATTCCGAGAAGAAGTATTCAAAAGATGGAAAACACATCAAAGAGGGAGAGAAAATAAGCAATGAAAATGCCAGTCTCAACAATGCTAAAGGATGAGATTGTGCGACAGGAACAACTTGTAGATAAAAGCACATTTGCAGCACTATGTACCCCGCAAAATGTAATCTCAGAGGAGACACGTGTGTCAAGGATGTGATAAGAGACAACGGGCAAACCCCTCGTGCTGTTCTGTATCTGAATACTGGTGATTTCTCATGATAAACTGAGACAAGGGCAGTGCTCTGCCTCACTGGCTGTTGTTGAGGGAGATGTGTTGGCATCCCAGGTGTAGCGAGTGGGAGAGGGCAGAGGAGTGGATGGACATGACCAGGAGTGGTTCAGCACCTGAGGAATGATGGGAAGAAGAAGGAGTATATAAGGCCATGGGACTGTCAGGAACTTCTGAAGGGTTTCTGCTGGTCCCTGGCTCATCTTGGTCATTTTCATCTTTTTGCCTTCCTCTTACCCTGTCAGATCTCTTCCTCACTATCCCCTTGACCGTGCAGGCCTTAAGGATAGCAAAAAAACCAGAAGGGAGCTAGGAGGAGTCTTACACCATCAGCTTCACACAGCAACACCCAGGAGACCCCATACTGGCAAACTGAAGCTGGAAGACAGGGCTGTAGAGATCCTGACCAGAGGACCATTACGCATCAGGGAGTTAGTGGTCCACAAAACACTCATCCTGAGCAGTCCTGGCCTGTGCTGATCCATGCTGTGCTGTGCTATGTTGTGCATCTGCCTTGGCCATAGGATGAACCTGGTTTGTTGAAGGTAAGAGAGGACACTGCAGGTAGCTCCCACTGGGTGCTGGTGATTACACCACCTGCATGTGCTTGCCTTCATCTAGGACTGCTGCAATGGTTCTCATGTGAACATCCTTCTTATGTGACAGTAGAATGAGCTGTTTCCTTTTTTTTCAAAGAAAATCCTGTAGTATCTCAAATGACCATAATGTGGTAACCTACCACGGATGGGATCTACCCTGATCAGAGGTCTGTTAGATGCTGCAAGACCTGGGGTTCCAGGCACCTGAAGGGACATAACATTATCTGTGCTATCATCTCCTTCTTCATAGTTTCAGACATAGAAAATGCCATTTAAAATTATACTTTACGGAGTCTGAGTGCCTTTCTTAACAGGATCATAATAGATCAGCACTTCCTGGTGAAAAACTGGGGGGAGGAGAGGCAGACAAGATTACTGACAAGATTGCCATCCATGGGACATGTGAGGGGAAGCTGTCACCGATGTGATGAGATTGTGAGGGGAGTCTCCTGGACAAGGAGTGTGATCTCTGGGCAAAGGTCTGCTCCTCAGGCATGAGTGTCCAGAGCAAAACAGAGTGGGGTGGCCCCAGCAGCCATCACCAGACCCTTTCTCCTGGCAAGCCTGGCCCCACATAGGCCCTGTGTGCTGGGACTCCTGCAGCAGCACGGTTCCTAGGAGCACCAGGAGGTAGGAGGCTGGGGATGGGCAGGTGGGAGATGCCTCCTGACCAGGGACAGGGCTGGAGGGGTGGGAGCCTGTCCTAAGCACAGCAGGGGATAGGGTCCTTACTGGAGTAGCCTGTGGCTGGTGTGAGGCTGTGGGGAAAAATGGTGAGTGCTGGGGATGCTGACACCCCTTCGTTCTGATTCTGTGTCTCTCCCAGGAGGTGGCAGGAGAGGGAGAAGACAGCCACCTGGAACAGAGTCATTCACCATGGAGGAGACCAACACAACAAAGCTCCCTCTGAGCTACATAACTTCTGGATATGTGGACTATGGGGAAAATATTGAATATGAATGCTCAGGACTACCTTATGGACTGATAATCTTTGCAGGTGTCTGTATAGGGATTTCTGTCTGTGGACTTGTGGGGAATGGAATAGTCCTGTGGTTCCTGGGCTTCCACACAAGGCAGAACCCTTTCACTGTCTACATCCTAAACCTAGCTGTTGCTGAATTCTCTCTGCTCCTCTCATTTCTTCTGCTCATATTGGCAATTTTCAGCTCAACAGCAATTTGTTCATATATGAATAATTTTTATTCTTCCTACATACATTTTGTAGTTGTAGTTGAATTTCTGTGTGACTTCTTTGACCTTAGCAGCCTTGGTCTCTTGACAGCAGTCAGCGTGGAGCGGTGTATCTCTGTCCTCTTCCCAATCTGGTATCGCTGCCACCGCCCAAAGCATTTATCAGGTGTTGTGAGTGGTGCGTTCTGGGCTCTAACTGGATGTTTTGTTTCCTCAATGTATCTCAGCTTTCAGTTCGATGAAAGCTACCAGACAGTATTTGCAGATGCAGCCACTGCAATTTCCTTTATTTTTTCATCAGTGATGTTGATTTCCGATCTGTCCGTGTTCATCAAACTCCAATGTGGTTCACAGAAACGATGCCCAGGGAAACTCTATATTGCTGTTCTTATCAACGGGATCTTCTTCCTTGCCCTTGGTATTCCTTTCAGCCTAGAGTTTTTCCTCAGCCTTCCCAGTTCACACAAGTTGTTTTCTGAAAATACATATTTTCTGCTGGCGTTGCTGAACTGCAGCATCAATCCAGTCATATACTTCCTAGTGGGAAGCTGCCGGCAGTGCCGGTTCCAAGGCTCTGTGAAAGTCGCCTTGCGCCAAGTGTTTGAAGAGAAAGTGGTGAGTGAGGAGGAGACCAATGTGCCTGAGGACACTACGGTGGAGAGCACTGTATAAGGCAATGCTTATGAGGAGGTCTGGAGATGTGGAGCCTTGCAGACAGCCTGAGGGATGAAGGTCCCCAAGCACTTGGAGCCTGTCTGCTGCCAGGGAGGAGACCAACACTGCAGCTCATCAGGGGGCATGTGGCACAGACCCAATGCAGCGCTGCTCAGCCAGGCATGGTCCCTGTGCACGGGCTGAATTCCTCATTGCAATGACCCTCATTGCTCTGGCCTCAGCGAATAAACTCTGGCTCCTTTGGCTCAGCAGATTTTTGTGGTGTTTTGGGGGATCTCTTGCCTGGGGAAAATCTGACACTTTAGGCAATGAGGCAGCTCTGGCCATCTCTATTGTCCAAGCAAGGCAGAGCTCTGTGAAAAGGGTTGCAAAAAAGGTCAAGCCAAGACGTCCTGGTGGGTGATGAGGGGATTCATGATGTAGAGTTTAAGACATAGGGTAAAATTGTAGATTAAGAAAGGAAGAGAAAGAAAGAGGGAAACTAAGAAAAAAGAGAGAATGAGAGAAGGAGAGATAGATGAAGAGACAGAGAGAAAGGAAATGAGAAAGAAAGGAATGGAGCTAAATCCAGTTGTGACCAGT